GGGGGGGGGGGGGGGGGGCACGTGCCCCCCCCTGATTCAAGAGGCACCAGTCATCCATGTTCACCATGCAGTGATTACTGATATTAATTTGATAAGACAGCAGTGACTTCTGTAATAGTTTCTGGTGCTAAAACTTGAAGTTTGGCACAGAAGAGATAACATGGAATTTTTTCACACTAGTTTCACTTTATTAATTGAGCAAACCTTCAATTTCCATCAGGCAGAATATATGAAAATCATTGGTGACTGGTAATTAGTATAAAATTCACTTAAAATTACACCACCAAAATTTCCTAAGCACTTCCGACAAAAACTGGTGTTCAGATTTTACAGATCAGCAAAGTGTCTCTGCATTCTCCATGTAATAATTCTGCACGTGGTTGCTCAGCAATATGGTTCTGTAGTTGTTACTTGTAACATTTATAAATTGCTTAGCCGGATTAAGGTGGGAGACTTTTCAATCACTGGTAAGGAAAAACAAAACAGAATAGGTCAAGTTAGCCACTAAGAACTACTATTTAAATCTAAGTCTGATCATACACTGTTTATTGTTCAGTATTTTATTAATAATACTAAACAACACAAGAGATTCAGTTTTAACCTTAGGGATACGAGTTTATCATAGTATCCATCTTAGCGTCTGGTGATCTGCATGGAGATTTTTTGTAAAGTCATAATGCTTTATGTCTACCTGATAGTCTACCTGATTCATGGTTAAGCAATGGAGATAAATTGTTTACTACTTAGTTAAACATGCTGACAAACTGATTGTAACTGGGATTACAAACCATGTTGAGAAACGTGTGCATACTTATAAAAAAATATGCAAAGGTGTTAGACTGTTTGAATGTTAAGAAATGCAGTGTTGCTGTGTTTTCAAAGTGTCCACTCAGTAGGAAACAAGGTACTTTAAGTAAACTGCATACAGTACTTTTCTGTCGAGGTTCTCAAACTTGGCAAAAACAATTTAAGTATATTCATAAAATTTGTTTTTAGGGCCTCTGCAATGGAACATAAATGCATCCAGCTAAAGAGAAAATAGTTTTTATACAAAAATGATGCTGTATTAATATTTTCAATTTTTTTAAAGCACAAGATAACCAATAAAGGCAATGCCATTAGGAGTTGAAGCTAAAAAATAAATGATGAGGACAACAAATATTTCAGTTTGGAAATGATGTGAATTAATTACTTCCTAAGACAGCTCCTGGCTCCAAGTTGCATGGAGTTCTTAAACAATGATAAAGCATGCCAGATGTATTCAGCATTCAACAATGAAAACATTTTTCTTTGAATAAATATTTTGTGAAGATTAAAACAAATGATATTTCATTTTAGATTACTAGTTTTCTGTAATCTAACTGTATTTGAAATACTGCAACTGAAATGGTATTAAACACATTTTCATAATAAAACAAATAAGAATTTAAAGATTTATGGACACACTAATTTACTGAAGGCGGTAGTGATCAATCTTTTGGCCCTGCAGGCCAGATGAGTTGTGTGGGGCCAGTTTGTGGGCTGGACTGGACCCTGCCACTGCCCCCTCCCTGCCCTTCATGCCAGGATTGGGTCCTAGGGATCCGGAACTACCCCATATGCACCTGGATTGGATTCAGGGAGGCCAGACACTGTCTCCTGCCTCTGGAGTCCGGCACCAACCTCACTTGGCTTGCACCCCATGCAGCGTGCAGAGGCTGGGGCTTCCCATGGCTCTGGAAATTTGGCAGCTGGGGAGTAGTGCCACACCTCTCCCATCACCAAATTTCTGAAACTGTGGGGAACTTGCAAGCCAGATAACACAGCACAGCATAGCAGCCCAGATCTGGCATGCAGGCCAGGGTCGAGCATCTCTGGCTTAAGAGATTAAGGTGTGGTTTTAAGTATAAATCAAAGCTATCCGACCAGAGCTCCATGCAGCCTGCAAGTGGGTTAAACTGCAGGCTGCTGGGCTCTCACCCAAGCCACTGTTTTCTCCATCATTTCTCCTCTTGCTGCCTCTTCCTTGGAGGCAGGGTAGTGTGATGAGGGGAGCTGATGGTGAGTCCAGACTATGTGGGTGGTTGGGGACAGGGAGAGGAAGAGGAAGGAGAGGGGTATTGGGACTGCATCAGGGGAAGTTCATGCTCCCTACAAGGCAGTGGTTGGGGTGACAGCACCCATGTGGTGCAGCAGTGGAGGGGTATCCATATGGGTACACAGAGCAGGGAAGGGGAGGGAGGGAGAGGATCATCTGCATAGCATGCACCCGTGGCCCATGGCCTGGTGCTGTGGCTCCCAGGGCCTTAGAAGTTGAACAGTCCTGATATAAATCCTTAAATGGAACTGAGAGTTGACACAGATTTATAATATATATTTAACAGCACAATTTCGAAGTCCTATTTTATTCTTTCAAATGTAATCTCTTTCCAACCAAAGAATAAGCAAAAACCTCTTACATGATCTTTTCATGCTAATTAGAATTGCTAATTAGTTTTGCTCTCTTCCTTGTCCCAAGAGCATTCAAGGGTACAAGGCTTTAAAACATTTCTTACCGTCTTCCCCAAAATCACAAAAGTATACAAATACTCTATGCACTGAGAATATACTGAAGTAAAGCGCATGAGAACTATTTTAGCAGGTGCTTGGTACAACCCATAAGCAGTGAACCTGCCAAACAATTTTGGATGTTTCTGAATTTTGGAAGCACACATCTTGCTGTTTTTAATTTTTGGCCACTCTAAAACTGAAATCTGATCTTTTGAGGAAGTTGTGGGCTATTAATGCCTAGCAAGCAAGTGCTGCTTTGAAAAAAGATGCCTTTGACAGACTTGTGACTGTTTTGAAAGTTAATGCTGAAAAGGAACAAATAGTAAGTTCACACATGGATATTTTCCTAGGTTAAAGGGCAAGTTGCAATTCCCTGTTGAAGGGGCAAAGGGAGACTCACCTTATTTGCTCTTTTGGTATCTACATAAGGTCCAAAGAAAATACTGGTATCACTGCTGCTTCAGTAAAAGGAGGCACTGCTGCTTTAGGAAAAGGAGACTATGGACAAGGAAAAAAGCCTCTCCCTCCCACAAAAAGACTGTTCAAGGGTTTTTTTTATTCATTTGTTTTTTGCCTGGAAAAAACTGCCATTTCTGCAAAAGAAATGAGAGCATTTCCAATCAGAAAATTCTCTCCCCTCCCATACCAACTTGAAGCAACTCTTCAGTAAACTAAATCACCAAAAGGAAAATTATAAGAAGTGTAAATAACTAGGGAAGAATATAATAATATTGCTCAGGCATGCAGGGATGAAGTCAGGAAGGCCAAAGCACAACTGGAGTTGCAGCTAGAAAGGGATGTGAAGGGTAGCAAGAAGGGTTTCTATAGGTATGTCAGCAGGATGAGGAGGATCAGGGAAAGTGCAGGTTCCTGCACTTTCCCTGATGTGGGAAGGCAATGGGGGAGGCAACCTTGTGACAGAGGATGCAGAAAAGGCTGAAGTGCTCAATGCCTTCTTTGCCTCTGTCTTCACAGGCAAGGTCAGCTCTGAGACTACTGCACTAGGCAGCACAGTTTGGGGAGGAGATGAGTAGCCCTCAGTGGTGAAAGAACAGGTTAGAGACTATTTAGAAAAGCTGGATGTGCAAAAGTCCATGGGGCCGGATGGGATGGATCCAAGGGTGCTGAGGAAGTTGGTTGATGTGATTGCAGAGCCATTGGTCATTATCTAGAAAACTCATGGCCATCAGGAGAGGTCCTGGATGATTGGAAAAGGGTCCTCTGTGTCCACATTTAAGAAAGGGACAAAAGAGGACCCAGGGAACTACAGACTGGTCAGCCTAACCTCAGTCCCTGGAAAAATTATGGTGCAGATCCTCAAGGAATCCATCTCTAAGCACTTGGAGGAGAAGCTGGCAATTAGGAACAGCCAGCATGAATTCACTAGGGGAAAGTCATGCCTGACCAACCTGATTGCCTTCTATGATGAGATGACTGGTGCTGTGGATTCAGGGAGACCAGTGGATGTGGTGTACCTTGATTTTAGCAAGGCTTTTGATATGGACTACCACAACATTCTCCCAGGCAAGCTATGGAAGTATGAGCTGGTTGAATGGACTGTAAGGTAGATAGATAACTTGCTGGAGCACTGGGCTCAGAGAGTAGTTATCAATGACTCTGTGCCTAGCTGGCAGCCAGTATCAAGTGGAGTGCCCCAGGGGCTGGTCCTGGGGCCAGTTTTGTTCAATGTGTTCATCAACGACCTGGAAGATGACACAGAGTGCACCCTCAGCAAGTCTGCAGATGACACCAAGCTGGGGGGAGTAGCAGATACACTGGAGCATAGGGCTAGGATTCAAAGTGACCTAGACAAATTGGAGGATTGGTCCAAAAGGAATCTCATGAGGTTCAACAAAGACAAGTTCAAAGTCCTGCACTTAGGATGGAACAATCCCATGCACAGGTACAGGTTGGGGGCTGACTGGCTGGGCAGCAGCTCTGCAAAAGAGGTCAAGTAGGTCAACGACAGTAGGTCAAGGGAAGTGATTATTCCCCTCTATTCAGCACTGGTGAGGCCACATCTGGAGTACTGTGTTCAGTTTGGGCCCCCCACTACAGAAAGGATGTAGACAAATTGGAGAGAGTCAGGTGGAGGGTGACAAAAATGTTGAGGGGATTGGGGGATGTAACTTATGAGGAAATACTGGGGCAACGGGGCTTATTTAGTCTAGAGAAGAGGAGACTCAGGGGACTCAATAGTAGCCTTCAACTACCTGAAGGGGGGGGTTCGAAAAAGGATGACTAGACTATTAGTGGTGGCAGATGACAGAACAAGGAGCAATAGCCTCAAGTTGCAGTAAGGGAAATTTAGGTTAGATATTCGGAAGAATTTTCTCACTAGGAGGGTAGGAAAGCACTGGAACAGATGATCCAGAAAGGCGATGGAATCTCCATCCCCAGAAATTTTCAAAACCTGGCTAGACAAAGCTTTGGCTGGGATGTGGAGATGGTTATGCTTTGAGCAGGGGTTGGACTATATGACCTCCTGAGTTCCCTTCCAACCCTAATTTTCTATGATTCTGTGAATGGCTATACACTTCTCTTGGGTGGCGAGGACCCCCAGTATCCCAAGGAAGAGGGATAGGCTAGTTCCGTGATAGGTACTCAGAGGCAAGCTGTCAAAGTGCCCTGTGGGGACCCTCCTGCTGGTGCCAATTCCCCCTGCCAATGAAGAAACCCTGGTCACTCTATGTTTATGCAAGGAGTGGGGCCTCATTCCCCCAGAGCTGCACCTGTCTGGTATGTACCCAGGCTGGGTCAAGCTGTGAAGGAATACACCCTCAGTTCTGCTGATCAATCAGTTAGAGATGTGAATTGTGGGCAAGGGAGCAAGGTAGATGTGCTGTAGGTAGATTTATCCCAGACCCAAACAGGTCCAGTTGCACTGCCTCCTGGATCTGTACACAAGGTGGGAGGCAGGGGCAGCACAGCTACCTTTGCATCAGCTGGAGACAGATGGTCTTCCATGAGGGCAAAGTAGCAGCCTCCTATCTCCCGCTGGCTGGAGTGCTCATCTTTCAGGTTACTTTGCTGCTCTCGAGCCAGAAGGTTGGAATTCCTGTAGGCTCTTTCTTGCACCAGCTTTTCCAGTGCTGCAAGTTTCCCTGAAGTATGTAGTGCTGGAATTGAATGCTTAGCCATGCCCACAACCATCAGCATCTAAAGCCTCAAAGATCTTGCCCATCTGTGTTATGGGAATGGCCACAACCCAGATCCACAATATACTTGTTCGTATTTGACTCCTGATAGAAAGCACCCGCACTAATTAAGAGATGGT